GCAACTCTATATAAACTCTATTTCAAAGAGAAAAAAAGAGGTGTACTTAAAACTAATGTTGTAAATAATTTTAATTTCATGAAAAACAATTTCATACATTAGCCATTCAGAGCAGGATCTAGACTTTTTTTTGTACTACAGAATTGATTTGATTCATTTGGTTATCAAGTTGCGAGGACCCGCATGTGAGCAACCAAGAAACACATTAAAATGAAATATGAATTTTAATAATCTGAAATATGTAAGATCCGACAAACTTTAAAACTTAGGGCAAAGTAATAGCCCTGTATTGAGCCAAAATTGAAGTTCATTCATTAATTGAGTAATGAAATAGTTTTTCTAGTGCTTTTCATGAGGTATGTATGTCCTCTAGTGTGTTTAAATATTACTTTGAAAGCATTTCAGAATTTATCACAAGTTGTCTAGATAAGATTTTATCTGTATTACATTGCTGAACTAATAAAAATCAATGACAAAAATTTGACAAATCACATAAGGAAAGTCAAAAAGCAACTTTTTGAGCAATTTTAGAAGAAGCAAATTCAAATTTTTGCCACAAAAGGGGGAGTCCAGGAAAATTAAGGCAAATGACTCAGTGGCTTTCAGCAAAAAAGAACTCCATGTCACATTCGAAAACTGCCTTCCATGTTTCATCATTCAGATAAAAAGCATTGATCATTTTCTCTTAAAATTTTCTTGTGAAATCTTCTAATAGAATAAAAAATATTCACTGTCAATTTCAATAAGTGACAATGGTTAGTAAAAAATGAATAAGTTCTGACCACTAACTGCATGAGAATCTGCATAAGTAAAAGTTGCTCGTTTTAAGTTGACAAAATTGCGAAGTAATTTTCGATTGGCCCTCTAAATGTCCTTACTTCTCTTAACTAGAAAAAAATATAAATATGGCACAATAAATTTTACTTCAAAATTGAATACTTCCTTTCATAAGTTAAAGCAAGACATTTTCGACTGATATGGAACATAACGATGGCGAAGTCATAAAAACACTTATCTGAATTTGAAACATTGCAAATATTCCAGCATACTTTCTTTTTGAGATGAAAAACTAAAATATCTTTGACATGATGGATTTTTGCATCAGTATCTACACTAAGAAAACAAATTGAATATTTCAAAGACAGAATAAAAAAGCGGGTAGATACAAAAACTGCCATTGCAAATTCAGCGGAAGAAAGCGGAAATCTGTTACTGAAAATTATAACTAGCATTTAGTCTGATAAAAAAATATTTGCTAGCTCAGAGGAACCGAAGTCCTGTACCAAATATGTACATATTTGATGATTTTCTTTCACAATTCTCAACTGAGTGACAAAAACGAGAGTATAAAATTACAAAAACGTGGAATCAGAGAACTATCTATCTAAAATTTGAGCATAATATTACAACATGAAGGCATATGATTCACAACGGAAATGAAAATTCAGAGATAAGATATTGTCTTGAAAGGGCAGTCAGTTGAAGAGATTGCTTTCTTTCCTGATGACTGTTATTTAACATTTCGATGACTATGGAACAATACTGCGTAACTGAAAATTTTTTGCAAAAATGAGTCAACGACGCATTCTGCAGTATAAAATACACAAGTTGATGTTTTCAGTTTTTCAAATTCTGCATGTGAGCGCTTTAATGACACTGTTGGATATAAAAAAATTTGAAACCCAAAATCAAAATTACAAAAAAGACAAAGTTTTTTTTTTGTCCTGTAAAATCGTTAATTTGCAGATAGGCGGTATTTTTCTTTAGTCATCGATTCCTATCTACGCATAACTAGACTTTTGCAAAAAATATTTGATATATTACAGATTTTGTTACTGGACGATCTTACAAAATTCAAGGATTGGTTCCTTCCAGGAAAGTATGAAAAACCTCGCACATTTTTCATCTACTTTGAATTAAAAATTGATAAACTTAGGACAGCCTACTGACAATATGCTTCGGTGCTCTTGATTTGTTTGAGTAGGAAATTGGAATCTCTCAGATTCGGTTGCTCCATTCTTACAGCTTCCTCATGCTGACATAGAAAACAAATCAGAGGTCTAAATGTTGCAGAATCGAACCAGTGGAACAACAGTAAGGTGTGGAAAATTTCGATGGTAATTATATTTAACTCTGGGCGTCGGTTGACATTAATTAACGGGGGAAATTAGATGATCTGCCCCAATTTTTTTTTTGCATAAGTTCAGAGTAAAAAGCTGCCATTTCCACTGATTAACACATTCATTCAGCACACAGTGCGCGATATGCAGATGCAGTTGTGCATGTGCCGAAGTTCATAACGCCCTGTTCACACCCTCTTAGGATCAAGCTCTGTTCTCGTGATTTTTAGGGGAAATTGCAGCTTGTTCTCAATTAGAACTATTAGGATGCAGAAATTGTAAGTGTCTCAAATATCCAGATTTTTTATCATTTGGCCTGACCATCGACTAAATTGATCTGGATAGTTTCATTTTTGCTACAATGACAATATCGAAGCAGACTGGGCATGACTCAAATTCAAGAGCACTCTTTGGTAAATCAGTGTCAGTAAAGGATGATCCATGTTAAGTAGGAGAGCTGGCACTGTAATAGAGTTTTAGGGAATGCGACAAGAGGAATACTGTGCGTTTATTAAAATGGCCTTTCATATTAGGAATTAGTTACTGTTTCGATAGAAACACCGCTTCAATGCTAAGAAAATCTGGAAACCTAGAGTAACAAGTCATTATAAAAGAGTGAATGAAAACATTGTTTTCATCTAATTGAGGGGAAATATTCTCAGTGGCTACTGCATTTTTTAAGTAAACCATAATTTTAATCCCCTACATAACTCCGAAAGAAAGAAAACAAATTTTCAGTTTCAAATTATCCAGCAAAGAACTAGGTCACGGACGGAAAGACTTACAGTCAGTCTCTAACTTGCTATTATTAAAGTTAAGCTTTTAGACGCCTGAGATATAAAAAAGGGCTGTCAATCAAAACATATAAAAGTTAAAACACTTAAGAACAACCTTGTGGATTAGACATTTACAAATAATGGCGATTTTAAAAACACAAAATGAATCGTTTCTAAAAGCGGAAAATATGTTTGAATCAGCCTTAAAAACCGAAAGGATGTGATTTCCATACAATCGTTAGGGGGGCAGGGAGCAAAAATCTATGCGGAGGGTCAAAAAAATTTCAAAGCTTTAACATTTTTTTGATTTTTATACTATGAGGAAAAAAATGTTTGATATGATGAATAAACATTTGAAAATTTTTAGAAAAAAGGAATGGACAAAGGAAATAAATGAATGGAGGAAGTTAGTCATGGAAAAAAATCTCAAATGAAAAGTTTATAAAAAAAAGAAAGAAAAACAGAAGATATCAATTTTAAATATTACACTGAGGGCAGACTGCAGAAAAACAGCTGCTTGCTTCTAATTTTTCACAATAACTGTAAGAAGTTTCTCTTTAAAAAAACTAAAAAAATGTTGAAACACGAGGCACGAACAGTCAATTTCTTATAATGTCTACTTCTAATTGCTTTTTTTCAATAACAATAAAATCTCACGCCACAATTAATTCTTGCCTTAATCATTCAGATGAATATTTAAATCAACTTCAATCTTGCCTGTTTGAAATTTAATCAAAGTACGGGGAAAGACAAATGCGATTAACACAGATTGCTCATTCGCCCGTGTCACACGATCAAAGCTAGCCATCAAATTATCAAGGTCAGGTGTTGTGATTGGCTTATTCGATGACTTCAACCAATCACAGCACTTGACCTTGACATTTTGATGAAATATTTTGATAGTGTGACACAGGCTTTTTAAGAGAGAAATATTTTACAAAAAACAGGATGCCTATCGGTATATTAAGACTAAAATTTAGTAGAAGCAGCGGTTGAACCCCAGGGTTGTTGAATCTCTTTGTCTGAGATGTCAAAGAGAAAAATCCGCACATGATTCTCAGAATCATACAAAAATGTTTCTGAACTTTTGACCCAACTATTTCTAAATGAAATTTCTTTTCGAACTTTATCAGACTAGTAGGTCAAAATTAAATTAACAGTTCAATAGTAACAGTTCTAGAAGTGCAATTTGAGAGAAGAAAAATTGAAGCCTAATTATCATTCCATTTTGGTTAATTTTAAGTAGCAAAAAATAATTCATTTCATCACAAAATTCAGACGAAATGGTGGAGAGGGTTCATAAATGAAGGATAAAAATAAGCGGGAGGGAATCAATTTCACTCAAGTGTTCCCTTGTGATAGATACAAAATTCGGAAAAGATATTAGTATAAAACACAAAAATGCAATAGGAACTGATAGTTAGGATATGTGATTCAAAATTTCAGAGGAATGAGATTCAATCAGAAAACAAGCTAAAATGGCTAATAATTTTTGGTTGATAGTTTGTTCCATCATTGCATGAGGCCCTCGACGCCTTTAAGAATACACTTTTTAAAATTTATGCTTTGACAATAAAAGATTAAACTATCAAGAAATTCTTGGAAAATACTGAGTTGATGCAAAACAGTAATAAGCTGTAAGAAAAAAAATGATCCTTTTCAATATCATTTCCTCTGAGCCAAGCTGAATTGCCGGACGGGGACTTTACTTTGACAGAAAATCCGAAAAACCATCAGATAAATTTTAGGGGAAAATAAGTGGCAATCCTGTAAAAATTGACACAATGAAGAGATAATCATATAATGCTCTGTAGTGAGTTGTTGAAAATTACAAGAACCCACTCGTGCCTATTTATGATTTTATGACAATCAAATGATCATAGATCTGCACCGAGAAAAAAAAGGGAAGTTAAATTAACATTCTGAATGTAAAAAAAGTGTGCGAGAACTTATAAATGCTGAATTACCCGCCACAGCACTTAATTTTACATCTTGGCATTGCTGAAGTAACTGCTGTGGCAGGTATTTTAGCATATTGTAAGTTCTCGCACACTTTTTTTACATCCAGAATGTTAAATTAACTTCAATTTTTTTTCGGTGTGCATTCTTCTATATCCCCATGGAGTGATACTTTGACATGCTAACTTCTTACTACTTTTCGGACTTCAATAACCAGTAGACACCCCCAAATAACAAATTAACTTAAAAAACAGAATATTTACAAGGCTCTATAATCTTTATCACGTTCAGAATTTATAGAGAAAAAATAAAATTGCAATAAATATATGAATGAAAATAACACAGATAAAATTAAATTTAAAACGGAGATTTACTATTTTTTAACAGGTGCAGGAACCCTGAAAAAAGGAAAAAAATAATGAATATTACCAATGATGCCTATGAAGCTCAGCATATTAGAAATACAAGAGCGCTTTAATTGATGCTAATGCTGGGACAGATTCCTCTTGGGGTTCAGAAAATTCTCCCTTTTTTCTTGCAGAGGAATGGATATGCTTTGATGAAAACTTGTGCATGAAACCCAACAAGTCTTACAACTACTACAAGCTGTTGGGCAGGTACATCGAAAAAACATTTTCAACTTGTGTAAAAAAGTTTAGGTATTTAGAGGAGCCATATTTCATGCAATTTAAGACACAAAAATTGAAACTTGCCATTTAAATTGCCACCCTGTTGAGATGGGCACATTATCACACCTCAACAGGGTGCCAATTTGAATGGCAAGTTTCAATTTTTGGGTCTTCAATTGCATGAAATATGGCTCCTACGAAGACCTAAACTTTTTGATACAAGTTAAAAATGCCCGATAGCTTGCAGTAGCTGCGGGACTTTTTGGGTTTCAAGTTTTCATCAAATGAATTTGAAATTTCATGTACAAAATTTCATCAAAGCATATCCATCTCTCTGCAAAGGAAAAAAAGGGGTAGCGGTCTGTTTAATGATGACTAGATATTTTTGCTTATCAACCAAGGGAAATGTATTCATTCATGCATGTAATGTATGCACTTTATTCTGTGGATTATGCTAAGTGGCAAATAAGGGTACAAAATCTGCTCAATGGATGATTTGCATTTTAATGCTTAAAAGTTTTGCAAATGAGACAACTTTTTCATTCAGGTTGAACCTCACATTATGAGAGTTTGAAATTGGGGAGATAAACAGCTTTACAGCCAGTGCCTTTGGTAATGATACGGAAAAAAGTGTTGCAAACAAGAAAAAGACACAAAACTCACCTGGTTCTAAACGTTGGAAGTCTGGATGCAAATCTAGGAATACCAGCTGTGGACGCAGGCATTGGCAATCTGCTTGCAGGAGGTTGACGAACAGAGGGCATCCTCAAACCTGAAGTCTGAGAGCAGAGAAAGGAAGACATCAAAATTAAAGAACTTTAAAAGAAGAGTTAGAGAGGATTCAAAGGTAGTCATTCAAAGGATAACTGAACACACAGGAAGAGAAACTAAAGATTAACTATAATTTACGATCTATTAATGAAACTGAAAGTTTGGATTTGAAACATGAAAAACACTAAGTTCTCTCGTATAGGTTAAATTTAGATTTTTTTAGTTGGGATGGAAAATTAGAAATCAGTTTTTATGAGGCAATTTTGATGAGAAAATACGCATTCTGATCATTGCTTGCTAGCATGCTCAACTTGTCTGGTAGTCCATCTTACATGAGAATCAGCACCTTTTGGATTTAAAACAATAGATTCTGCTCAGCTTGAAGATCATATTTTTCATTAAAGTATCGATGACAACAACATACATCTACCAGCTTCATAGGGTGAATATTGTTGGTGTTCTGATAAATAATTTATACAATTTGCACTGATATAGGGCAAAATAAATGCCAAAGATAAAAATTGAACAATCTGCAAGCTAAGGGTGGAAAGTATGAAAAACTGCTTACAACTTTTTCTCATCTGAACATCTAAAAAATCGTTTAAATTTCCAAAGAGTGGTAAATTTCAAAGGAAAAACTACTTTCAAAAGGTGAATAATGATAAGACATAAGGTCATGAGTTGCTTTGGTTAAAACTGAGCCATTGATTCAAGATGCCTTTCGAAAAAATTGATATATTTCACTCACCCTTGGCGGTCTGATAAATGTTGATTCTGAGGAAAATTTCGGTGGTGCTTTGGCTGACGGTTCAACTGTAAGGGTTTCATTCATTATTAATTCTGTAAGAGAAAAGAACAGTATGAGTCAGAATGGAAAACGGCAAAACATTAAAAAGTAATTAGAACATTAAAGGAGTAGATGTTCAATCAGTGCGTGCTCACACATAAAATCAATTTGCTTCCCCTGCACATTTTGTTCAGCAAAACAAACATTGCTTTATTAAATTAAACATTACATTCCTCATTAATGAAGGGCTTTTGTTAAAAATTTGAAAAATTGGCAAAACTGACATGAATTAATCAAGTTAGGTAATCACACAGTATTGGGAAGCTTACAGATTTAAGTTTGAAATTCCCTGACTTGAATAAAAATTTCCAGGTTTTGCCCGCGGCAAAATAACAAAAACTTCCTCGCTTTTTAAAAGAAGATAGACTAATATGATTCTGAAACCAGAACGTACATCTTTTGATGTTCAGTCCCTTTTTTGGTAGCTTTTCAGCAGCTTTGCGCGGCAGTTCCACAGCCTTTATTCTGGTATGTTCTTCACTTGACTGTAATCGGTGATCAGATTGTAGACTTTTCCAGGGCCGCATTTTAGAGCCTGTAGTTCAGTCTTGGTCATGTCTGTCTCACCCGCTAATAAAAAACTTTCGATGAACTAACATGCCCACGACTCCAGAACAAAGCTTTAGGCTAGCAGTCTTACGTGTGAGAAGTCAAATAATTAGTGAAGAGGCCGATGTGGAAGCAAAGTTTGGAGTTTAAAGTCTGGAGGTAGGCGCAAATACAGCAGTGTTCCTCCAGCATTTGGCATTGTCGTTGTGTGTTTCTATCCCTCAACCAGCTCTACAAGCTGTCACCCAAGCACCCTCTTTAACAGGAAATTATTTTAACCACCTAAGTATTTTAAAACTACCCTCAGATTTTTAGTTTTTTGTCATGTTCAAGGCTGAAAGTCTTAAAATCTTCACCATAAAAACTGTAAGTACAACTCAACAGATAGACATAAACAAAGCAATGGAGGAGAATTTTGGTCTCATTCATCATATCTCAAAAGAGAAGGATAAGTTGTTTTTCACGGAGCAGTTGATTTGCTTGACAGGTGATACTTACGAGTTCCAGTGGGATTAATGTCCGGGAAATTTGTGCTGTCAGGGCTTGGATTTTTAGGCGCTGGCAGATTTGGGAACGGCTGGAAGTTTAGCTGATCTTCCTGAGAGCTGTATTGCGAGGTTGGCGAAATGTTTCGCGGCTGAACACGTTTAGCAACTGAAATGTGATAAATAAATTGAAAAAATAAATAAATATTGGAAGTGGTCAAAAATTACAGGCTCTAAACCATCATATCAACATGTCTAAATCCTAGAAAACGATTCATTGATTTTCTCTGTTTTGAAATAGCTGCTAATAGCCAATTATAGTGCGGGGGATGTTACTGATAAGTGTTTAAAAATGATGCTTAGAAAAAATCTCTACATGGAATGTTTCACTATTGATACCACTATGCAAGTCCTAAAGAGATAAACATCTCATTTTTCCACCCTCCTGTAAATTGAAAATTCGAAGACACGATTTTAGAGTTTAGATATTGATGTCGTCATCGAGTTTTCATTAACCTCCAAATTAATTCTAAATCAAGAAAAAAGTTCAACAGAACATAAAATACAAAAAAAGATCAGCGTTCTCAGTAACAGCGTTGGATTTAGGGTGGTAGGGGGACTCTGAGGCAAACGTGTGGTCCCCCCCCCCTCCCAGAATAAACGATTCAAGAGAGTAGAAGGTAAAGACCGATATTTCCCTGACAGTATTTTATGTACATTAGGTCCTTGTTTGATTGTGTATTTGGAATGACACCATCGTATAAAATTAAATTTCTCCGACTTGGTAAAACAGATATCACCGTTTCCTAATTCGATAGTCAGCCCTCCCTCCTATTCTCATCTCACAGCAGTCACTTATTTAATAGTTTTCTCCGAAAAATTTTTGCAAACAAAAAACATTATCTTGCTGTGGGGGTCTTGCGGGAATTGTCCAAAACACTTCTCCCTAAATCTTGTATTACTTAGTAAATAGTGCCAATTTTATTGGAAAAAGAGTAGTCAAATATAAAATCGTTGACATGTTCGATAGCCTGTTCCAGGATGAAAGACCCTGTACATAAAGTCAAGTATTGTTAACCTTCCACGCTTCATATTTTAAAATTGTTGATTTGCTGTTATCAAAACAACTCTTGAGATCCATGCCAATTAGTCTTCTTGTTTATGGTGATATTTTTAAAATATTGACCTCGGAAAGAGCAGTTTTTAGCCCACTGATTCCATGTTAATAAGCATGAGCACAGCAACAATCCAGTCAGCAGCTAGTCAATGAGACAATCTTTGTTCACTTAGCTGTGGTGCATAGTGAAGAGAGAAAAATTTTTTTTTCATGCTCAGTTCCTTCATCAACCAGCCACGGAACAGCATTATTGCACCTATACTTAGAATATGATATTGCGGAAGATGAACACTTACCATTGCTTTTTGGAGTTGAACTTGATGCAGGAGGAGAAATGAGATTTCCTGTCCCTTTTTTGAGTTCTACATCATCACAGAAAACAGAAAACAATATGAGAGAGAAATTAACATCAAAGACACCAAAAAACATAAAGGATTGTGCAATGCGGAAAACCCTTTAAGTTCATGCTACTTTATGTTTAAGAAGAGATAAAAAATGGAAAAAGATAAAGGGAATCTACAGTACAATAGAGATTTTTTCCCTGAACCTTGATTGCACTGCATCAGGTTTTATCAGGTTGTATCATGGTACTTACATTTCCTTTTTCACCCCATGTGAATTTTCCGTTGCCAACTAAAACACAATGGCCATTTTGGCTTCATCAGCCAATATCAGGTGATTATAAAAAAATGAGGCACGAAAAAAACGTTCCATTTCATTTTATTTTCGTTCTTCGTTTTTTTTATAAACACCTGATGAAGGCTGATGAAGCCGAAATGGCCATTGTGTTTTAGTTGACAACCAAAAATTCACATCTAACGGAAAAGGAGATGTGAGTACTACTACTAATTTTAAACACGTACAGAGGCCAAACTTTGCTGCACCACTGCCCTATCTGACTCTTACCAAAATTCTCATTTTGACCACCCTTCCTCCTTTAAAGTTTCAGGAACCTCTTTCTGCTCTCTTATATTGCATCTGACAGAATCTCCTCTTTTAAAACATCAAAATGGGACAAAATTCAGATGTGCTGAATCGATTCATAATTTGATCCATGACCTTTGAACAACTTTGAACCATTTACTTTGAGCCCACCTGCCCTTAACACGTATTAAATCAGGATTAATTATTATACTTCAAAATTGACTTACCAAAATGTGACTCGTTAGCACCATTGGAGGTTGAAATGCACACGTAACTTGAACTTGACAATATGCTACTCGAAGAGGATGACTTGGAGTCAGCACTCCCTCTGCTGATGTCCTCCGCTGAGTTATTTTTCTCAACAATATAGGAAGCACTCAAATTAGTAGCAGACTTGCAGAATGTTGAATTTAAGACATTCTTCTTATCCGTTAAATTGTAATACTTGACTTCAGAATGCCGCTCGAACACACTCATTGGACGTTTTAAGCCACTCTTCATGTTGACTTTCAAATTTTCTTTGGAGTTTGATGCTGTCTTATTGTATACATGTGAGAAATTAAGGTGGGGCTCTTCTGCTTCCGTTTGCTGCCTAATATTAGTATTTGACGAATATAGACTTCGTTTCACAGGCAACGAGAGTTTTGAATTTTTTAACGGCCCTCGAGGAACTGCTGGTTTGTGGTCAGAGAAAGATCTTCTGGGATTTTCGATGGTGGGTTCGATTTTTTCCAGACCATCACCTTGTGATACTGACAGTCGTTTGACTAAATTTGGTGTTTTTGACAAGTATGATTGCTCCTTCGGAACTTCGAAAGTTGAATTTAGCGTTTCTGTGGAGAATGTAGGCGGCAGATACCGGGCACTTGCAATATTTTGATTATTGTCGTATGTTTGATTTAAGGCTATTTGGGATGCACTGTTGATATGGCGACTATCATCAATACCATTATTCATACAAAAAGTATCATTAAGAGTATCGATAGGCGCGTTTTCCATACCTGTGGAAGCATTGTTGATAATCAAAGACTCTTTATTAACATCATTTATGCCTAACGAGCTGTTATTGATGTCCATAGTAGCATTGTTAATACCCATTGTGCAATCATTAATGTCAAAAGTAGCATTGTAAACGCCAAGCGAGCCATTATTGATGTCAATGGTAGCATTGTTAATGTCATATGAATCATTATTGATGTCCATGGTGGCATTGTTAATGCCAAACGAGCCAAAATTTCCATCTGAATTATTAACAATACCAACAGAGCCATTTTTGATACCCATGCTTGTATTGCTATGATGTGTACCGTTTGTAGGGACTGCATGTCCATTTTCAACACTTCCAACTGATCTGTTGTCAAAAATAACAGTTGAATTTAAATTAGTGGACACATTGAACGGGGAATCGTGGGTGGTATCTAAATCAAAGTTTGTGAACGACGGTGTCTGAACGTTAGTGATGTAATCCAGACTGTTTTCAAGATATTCAGGATCTATGTTGATCATACCATTGTTTTGTTTAGCAATTGTAAACGTTTCAAAAACACCAGGAGATTCAGACTGAAGAATTGCTGTGTTTTTTATTTGTAAACCGGAGAAAGGCACTGCTCGACGATTTTTCAGCTGACTACGGCTGAAAGTTGAAGAGTCGAAATGAAGAGGGCTTTTGAAAACTCCTTGATCTGAATTGGAGGTTTTATTGGAGACTAGCGGAGTTGACATTGGGATGTTTCCATTGTTTAAAGGAGTGAAGGGCGATCCACTCCATTCGAAATTCATTTTTAGCTTTTCCCGATTTTTGACTGCTGACTTTCGGTAAGTTCGCGAGTCAAACTCAGACTGTTTATCGTAAGTTCTTTTGGGGTTAAAATTTAGATCTTCTAGCGAATCACTGATGCTCTCCACTGTTGGCGGTGAGTCATACCTGACTTGCTGACAAGGCAACTTGGTGTAACTGCGGCCCATAATTGTGGGCGTAAGAGTTTTCCGAACTGGCTCACAGGGTTGTTTATTGATTATTATTTGATTTTCTGGTTTCATTGGTCCTATGCTGTTGGCTTCCGACGCAGATGTTTGATTTAAACAGTTCTGTAAGGACTCGGATTCTGTTTGGTCCTTTAAAAAAAATAGAAAAAAACAATTAATAATTAAAATAAAACATGTTGTATGCATCATGGTGTCTGGAATTCTTGATTTTTAATATTCCACCCTGATTTCCACGGATACATTCCCTGAGGAAAAACCCGGAATTTTTGCCCATTTTTTCCCAGATTCTCTTGGAAAAACAAGAGTTTTCGCCAAAGTTTGAGGAAAAATCAACTTTTTGATCTGTCATCTGAATCTTAGAAGCCAAGTCAACAAGGGCCATCAATTTTTAGATCACTTTACCTCAGAGCAGAAAGAGTGGAAAGTACTCTCATTTAGTACCATTAATCAAAATTCCTGATTTTTTTCAAATAAATTTAATGCTATGACAAGTCCCTGCCTTTTCAGGTCCTAGGGACCATGGTTGAGGTGGGGCTCATTTCTTAATTTTAACAAATTTCACAACACTGGGAATTTAAAGTGTACTAACGCGTATTAGAAAATACAACTTTGAAGGATTTTTCCAATTTGACCTGCATGAACATTTAACATAATCTTTTCCCTAAAATAAGAAAGGTTGAATCCACCTGCTGATTTCAATGTCTACTGTACCTACTAATTTAATTCATTTTTACTTTCATTTAATTTTTCACAAATAAGTTGATTCTGGAATTATCAATGTATTTTCTATGTTTTGTGTAGGAGTTCAATAAAGAAACAAGTATTCCAGTAATTAGATGCTAATCTTACCTCATGGTTCATTGTGATTTCATAATCTCTGAAAAAATTTTGAACCAATTGAATAAAATACGGGTAAATAAGCCATAATTTTTAGAAATAAATAATTGAAGAGACTTACATCAAAATTCAGAACTCCAGTTTTATCTAAATGTGCAACGTGCGAGTCGAGTAATAGGGAAGATGCCATGCTGCCATCATTTTCATGATCTACATTTCCAACTCCATCACCAGTTACATTAGAGTCCAAAATATTAGGCGCTAAAGTTAGTTTGGACATATCAAAATTAGGTCTCTTTTGACGTACAAATGTAAGGTATGGGCTTGGGTGTTTTCCGATACCTGTTAAACCAATTACACCAACAATTCATCATTAGTTTAGCAGAAATTATGACAAACTGAACCAGATACCCTTTACAGTTAAGCCTTTGAGATAAAGAAGGTACAACTGTACACACTGAAGCTGGAGGATAATTTCAGCCGAAACATATCATTGGTTAATTTTTTCCTGAATGGATCTGATGTTGAATGCTGATAATTTGAAACCTTCTCGAACATGTCTCTGTTTTTAAGAATTAGCATAATTTAAAGGAGACAAGTGTCCATAAATGAGAGCGGGAGTCCACAAGAACTTGTAAGCAGGGATTTGTACTTGTTGACATCCCGAACAAAGCTTGCAAATACCTGTACAATGTACATCCATCAGGTGCAATACACAGAGGAAATGAGCCATATTTTTTTCAAATTGTAGAGGCAAATTCGTATTTACTTCTCGTGACTCAACTTGTAGAGGGATCGAAGAGGTACGAAATATTATCGAGAGCGTACAATATTAATTACTTTACTCAATATTAATTACTTTAATCAATATTAATTACTTTAATCAATATTAATTACTTTAATCAATATTAATTACTTTAATCACCTGTCTTACTTAGCTTAACTAATGTATTTTTTTCTCCTTTACTTTTCAAGCTCAAAACTAAGTCAATATTGAAAGACATTGAGTTTTTCGGAGTTCATCAGTGGGAAAAAAAACAAAAAAGCAGGGGTCAAAAATTTATCTCCTGCCAAAAAAAATGGCGTTTAAAGGGAGGAATAATCATCAAAATATTGGTCAAATAGGTTCACTTGATTTATGGACACCTCCCGACAGAACATCCACAGGAAAGGTGGACCATTTACTTGATTTAATTGAATTAAATAAGTAGGTGTTTTGGGGGATTTTCCTCGTATTTTCAATTGCTAATTGATGCTATCCTTCTTCCACACAAAGGAGTCGGATGGGCAAACGTCATAATCGTGATGCACGGGGAAAGTGAAAAGGTAGGAAGTGACACTAGAAAGCTATTTATAGACATTACATCATGAGGAACCAATGGGAAAACGAATCAGTTTTCGATCTGATTAGTATTCCAGGCATCAGAGAAGGTCAAGAGCTACATAAACATGAAGCATCTGGAATTATAAGTAGCTGACCTATTCTCTTCCATCATTCAGAAAAATTGCAGGCTAGACAATTGGATGTGCTACAAGGATGTACGGTAGGTTAGATACTCAGATTTGTTTTCAATCAATGTTTCCTGCACAGGGGCATTTCTACGATATTTTCGATTCTTTGCTCTCCATTTCCCTGCATTTTAAGGGACTAATGTTTTTTTAAAAAAATGTTCAGAAAAAATGAGTTGAGTAATGTGATGTGTGGTAATTTTAGCTATACCTGCGGCCAGTCTATTGAAATTATCAATACTTGTTTTTTTCTTCAAACAATATTCTGAAAATTGTTCACTGAATTATGTGATGCTGAAGTTGCTGTTTTTTGACACCCTTTCACCCCTGCATAAAGTTCTACCATGATGTTATGGATCCCGGTGGAAACTTGCAACTGACTAAAAAAACCCTCTCCAAATTGAATAAAAATTTATAAAGATGTTGAGACTGCTGTTTATGGAAGCAACATAGTACTGCAGGTAAAAAAAAAAACCGACAGTGACAGTCTCTGATGAGACCTCTTTTTTATTATTTTTTTTCTATTCTTTTTTTTTTCATAGCATCAATTCAACGAAATCGCTTGAGAAAACTGACTCAAATTACATAATGCTTCATTTTTAAAAATTTGATAAAATCCTTTGAAATCCAACATGAATCAGGAGTAAGAAGGAAATGGAGTTGAGGCTAGGGTGGATAAGGCAAACCTCAGTATGACCAAGATGATCAGTGGTTAGATAGAGAAATGTCATTGAAAAAAAGAGAAAAAAAGCTCAACTCATGTTGATGAGTCAGAAAACATGTTTTGTCACGGAGTTAGAAAAATAAAGAGTACAGAGCCATCAGTTTTTGACTTCAGCTATTTCTGTCAGTAAATAATTTTATTGTGCCGATCTCTTATCTGTGAAAAATAAGTATTTATAACGATAGCAGGAGGTCACAAGCTTGAGGAGAGAGAGAGAGAAAAAGAGGCAGGCAAGAAAGGAATAAAAGGGGAAATAGAAGATGGAATCAAGTTTCCAAGATAGGTAAGTTCTTAGCTTATTACATTTTTCTATTCTTTTTTAATTAGAACTTTATCTTGGCTCTGTGCAGCATCTGTAAATAGCATGGTAATTTATCAGTAGTTATGAGTGCATTAGTTGATCAGAATCAGTTCTAGAACGTTTAGACAGAAAATTAATTTCCATTTGATTGATTATCCTATCTCAATCTCCGACAAACAGCTGGTGTTGTTTCTGTGTACTAAAACTGACTGAATACTGACGCATTGGTCGAGAATATTGGCAGAGTTGCAAGTTCAGTTTTCAGATTTTCAAAACTTTTCACTTATTTTCCCTACCTACTAAAAAGGAGCCCCTAACTACTGACACTAACATTCTCTGATTTTTCCTTTACATCACCACAAAAAAAGGCCTCAACAGTTTTTGACTCTCCCTTGTCTTTACCCCCCTCCCTCGAAAAAAACAAAATCTCGATTGAGAATGAGAGAGGCTAAAATTCCTTGTGTAACTTTTTTCTTGCCTCTTCAAAAAATGTCAAAATTTCCTGGCTACAGCATAACTTTTAAAAAAAGCCATGAATACCATGACATATCAACAATATGGTGTGATTCTTGCCAAAACTTTAAAAATAGAAAAAAAAGTACTCTCTGATTAACAAAAATTCACTCGTGTCCTAGGGTTTTTGAGATTCCCTGACTTTTTTTTGTTGTATCTGTGTTCGCTGATTCCTTAGACTCTAATTAAAAGATAACTTATGGTTGAAGCCAAGAAACACGTCCGTTTCTAACAATCAAGTTTTAAAATTGATTTAGACTTCACTTTTTGCTTTTTTCAGTCCACAAAATGGATTATTTTCTGAAGGAACCAAAAATCAAAGTAAATAAGGGAGGGGGGAATTTTCTTTGATTATTTTTCCCATCTCAAAAAAATCTGGCTTGGGGTGCGTTTAACTTGTACCCTACCTTGATATAATGAAGGTTAAAGAGTCCGTATAATCCAACTGATAAGAGATAATCACTTAATTATTATGGAGTCTGGTTACTTAATTAATTAGACCAGAAGTAAACTGTTGACAGCTATAATTATTCTAGATCTGACCCCTGATTTTGAAATCTAACACCACGACTCATGATCAAACTGATCCAATGGCTTAAAATGAATCTATTTCAGGACATTCACTGTGCAGTCCTCATATTGCAATAAACAAGGGAGAGGAAATCATTTTTGTAAAAAGCAAAAAAATGATGTTGGAAAAAACCCATGAGCACCTTAATCTGAGCCACTTAGAGAAAGGCACCTCAGCTAAGATAAGAAGAACCTTCGGCACATAGCTTTGATGAGGTGCAAAATAAAAGTTGGCGGGTTATCAAGTCTTTGTCGGTTAAGGTGTTTGGTGGAGTACCAACTTTCTCCTCTCATGGAAAGTAAGAATTACCCACTGCCTCCCTTCCCTTTACTGCATTTACATAAAAGGATAAGCAGTTTGGTATGCTTGCATGCAAAATTAAAAACTGCAGAGAAAGCTGCAGTACACATGTACAAGTTCTGACTCAGTCAAAAGCCTACCAACTGTGCAAAACAAACCTGACATACTTCTAAGGAGATGACTTGTTGCGAGACTTTGATAATCATTATAGAATGAGCCACAGTTAAGATTTGAGAATTTCAGAAGTTGACTCTTAAGGAAAAATAAGACTTCATGAAGTATGACATTTTTTTCAAAACTGCTTTCCCTTGGAGCTACAACCCCTTTTCCTTCAAAGAAAGAAGAAGAAAAAAAGAAAAAAAAAAAAAAAAAATTGGCTTCGAAGGATGGAAAATGAAGCTCTCACCAAGACCAAAGGCTTCGCAATTTTATCAAGAGAGAAGTATGCCTATAGATACTTTACTTTACTGTACTCTAATACTTTTAAAAAGATGATGAAGAGCCTTGCTTGTTTAGGTAATAATTAAAATCTACTCTAATAGCAGAGTTCCATTTGTATTTTTTAAAAAAATGCAAGGATTGAATAAAGAACGTAGGTATTATATAATGGATTTAGTATTGTCAAACTTTAAAAAAAAAAAAAAAAAATTATGAAAGATGAAAGAATGGCTGTGTCTTTGCAAAACGACCGAGTTAAGTGAAAAGAATCCAAGCCACATCCAGATCCAACAGAGAAAAGGAGGTTTGAAATTTTCTTCCTTTATAAGACTCAATGCTGAAGATAAAGTTTCAAAGCACATTTGCTCCATCAAAATATTTTTTCTCACTTAAATTGGAATTTTTTCATAAGAAAAAAAGGGACTAGTTAAGCTCAAAACTTCTCCTATCTAAAAAATTTGTGATAATTTTGTTTTATTCAATCCGATTCAAGTTCTCTTCAAATTATTGCTGTTTTGAAATTGTTCAATATCAATTTTCACAACCTATGAAGTTCCAAAAAAATAGCTCCTAACTGTTGCTTCACTCTGAAAGTCAGTAACTCCTTTATTATGGTGACATTAATGACCTTGCACTTCTTATTCCAAGTACACCAGGATATTGCCCTGGGTAAGCCCACAAGATCTGAATTTTTTCCCACTCTCTTACAATTGGTCTGCTCAGTGCCAGTGAGCAACTTCCCACATGATTTACCCACAGACCTGCACTGCTGTGCTATGTAAAACCGCCGTAAGAGCATTCGAATGTTGCCAAATTTCTTCTGAGAAAATATTTATTTTAGAGGAAACTTATGAATATTTGTCCTTGAAATTTTCAGACTTTATACATCAAATTACAAGCAAATTCCTTAAAAAATCTGAAGAGAAATATTCAACAATTTTCCTGAAAATTCGTGATTTGTCAAAGGAAATTTGGCAACGCCATATGGCTCATACAGCGTTCTTCCTTAGTACGGTTGTACAGTCCACTTACATGCCTACTCCTTCCCACCCCCATTTCTCCTGTCTGCTTGATTACCTGACTGCTATTCTGACTTTCTTTGCGTTAGAGGTTCTCACTGCTGAGTTGATAAGAAAATCTCATGAAATGAATAGCTAGTCTTGAATTTTTCAGAGCTGAAGAGAGTATCTTACTCTGCTAATTAGGTATGAGAAATAAAAGCATTGTCTCTACGTACTCATTTAGTAAGAAAAAAAAAGAGAAAAAGAAAAAAAAGAGAAAAAAAAAGAAAAAAAAGAGAAAAAAAAGAGAAAAAAAGAAAAAAAAGAGGGTAATAGTTGAAATTTTACACATGATTTTTCACCCTACTTTTCCCACTTATTGTCAGTTATTTCAGTGGGCCTTATACCACGAGAAAAGGAAAGGTGCTCCCCTCAAAAGTTATGCCTGCACTACATGTTCAATGCAAAAGGAAGGTTTCTGTTGAAGGACCAGATATACGAATTAATTTTTAAGCATGATAAAATGTGTCTCTTGGTAGAAAATCAAACTTTATACCTTAGAAAAGCTTTCAGACTAAGAAAAATGAAATGGCTGTAACACTTTATGCTGCGACACCACTATCTTTGCAGTGATGTAATCTGGAAGCAAGAGAAGGGCCTTTGCATCAAAAGTTTAAAGAGTTATTGTATATTGGCGTGGAGAAGATTCTGATGGTTATTATAAGCTTCAATGAGATTTCTTTGAAAATGATTCGAAATTAGCAAAGAGATGGCATTTTGAAAACTGCACGTTAGGGATTTTCCTGGGAATAAAATTTGGAAAAATTGCGCTGAAAGTTATGACCTGGAGAGAAACTTCTCGTCCCTCTTCCAGTGATTTGAAATGGTTCTACGCTAAGCTGCTGGGTTTACTCAGCTTGAAAGGTTTTCAAGAGTTAATACAAACCTTGACTGATATAAAAAAAAAAAATGAAAATAATTGGAGCCTCCTCATGAAGAAATCTAATAGCTTTCCTTCCCTATCAAAAAAACTATAGAGCTAACTTGAATTCAATGTCAACACGAAGATGATCTTGGGGCCAAAAGCTTTCACCCTCTATTAAGAAAATGAAACTCAGACCCTTCAAATAAGCTCCGAAAAAATACTTTCAACAGAAAAATTCAACTAGCTGTTGCTGGGGTAGTTCTGGTTACCGATGGAACTATTTAAGACAATTCAAATGGAAAAAGAGCTACAATTCGTCATTAGAGCAAATCCTTTACCAAAAATGTATGAAATTTAACTTAGAGCAATCCGTCAAGGAATAATCAAAATTAAATGTATTATTCTTTCTACTAATGAAATGCTGATTATGAGTTAGGACATTGCTAGGGATTATTTAGTTGATATAAAAGTCGTATTTTGTTTGAGGTAACAGTTGGAACTTGTTTCCGAAAAATTGTTATTTTTATCGTTACTTTTTCTCAATCAAGGAGCAACCAATGAGAGAACATTCAAGCAAAGTGCAGATAGAAACCCATAACAATTTCTGGAACCCACTCAGAGCACATTTTGTTGTTGCGCATCAAAATTTTACGACAGCATTGCCATGTTGTGCAATAAAATGTCCAATGAAATAAGTCCCGCCAATTAACACTCATACAAAATAATCACGCACTATTACGATTGTTACGACAAACAAAATATGACTGGGCAGAAAATTACAGGGTTAATGATGGAATGAACTATTGAGACAAGAAGAGAAAAGGGTTAAGGTCTGATGTTCAATTTTACCTGAGGCATAATTATTGCTGTTGCCAGTATTGGACAAAATAAAATTAGTTTTGGGAGATTCCTTCGAGAGCCATCCTTCAACGCTGTCCGCTTCAAAGCTTTCATTACCGGAAAAATCTGGCTGCAACCTGCATCAAAAGAGATGGTGATCAGTACAGGACGATATTACAAAGTTCTGACAAGTTCCCTTGATTTCCTATCTCATGATCCATTCCTGCTTAAATCGGGCATGAAACTTGCTGGTGTCACCCATTTATCAACTCCTAAATTTGAAAAAAGCCCTAAAAGTTAGGATTATGATGAATCCAATTTTCTCCGTGTAGAGATTGAGATAAAAACAGTAGCAGGGTTGCCACCATGTGCTTAGAATTCAAAAGTCAAGTAGTGTGGACTACATTTTGTGAGGCTTCAATAATTTCTATATTGCTATCTTCTGATGACCAAATCACTTCAACAGTGCAACTAATTCCGGTCAGAATTGGAAAAAGAAAAGGTCTCATCTTTTTTAAAAACATAATGGGTACTTTCAAGCAAGATATTTTGGGCAAGAACTGCCTTTTTGAAAGGTAATAATTTGAAATGTTGCAGAAGACTTAATGTGTACACATTCATGGCATGAAACTTTGACAAGTTTAGCTCCGAATCACCTTAATGGCAAAAGAACAATACCCCCTACCTGCAAATTGACAATATTAGACAACAAAGAGAAAACATCACCATTTGTTTAATTTTCCGTTAGGTTTGCAATTTCTTTTTCACTTTAAAACGTCATTACAACGCTCCCATGTAGAACTGGAAAAAGCTAAACAAGTCAGCATGTTTATTTTATTCCATAAAATACAGCAAAGTTGCTGAGTCTTTTTGCAAACATTTTTGGTGGGGCGGTATTGTTCTTTAGTTGGTGTTATACTTTTTCCAACCATAGTTAGTCACTGTTGCTGATGGTGGGCAGAAGCAAGACTAATCCACACAGGTCAGTCATTGCGCAGCTTTTCTGAAATCCACTCCCCCGCCCGGCCCTAACTCGCAGCACTCAATGCTACGTCCCAATGGGTGCTCCCATAAGAAATACATTGCAGGCACTCAATACTACGTCACTGCGCAGTGGAGTTCTAAAACTCGTCCTCGGGAATGACTGACTTGTGTGGATTGATCTTTGGCAGAAGAGACACAGCTACAACATGGAAGAACATGTAGATATAGTTAATATCGTTAAATTAGCAAAAATAAATAATTTTGAATGTTGAAATGTAGTCTTCACCAGCCCACATGACAGCAAACAGTACTTCTCTCGAAATTGGAAACATGCTGTATAATCCTTAAATATTTGGCATTCAGTCTTAACTTGTCTACAATGATGAACAGCAATTTGAGTCGTAGAGCTACTTACTTGGGTTGTCCGTAAACAACCCAAAACTTTTAAAATGGACCAACACAGAATCAGCAAACTTACCATGTTTCTTCATTTTCTGATATGCTTTCGATGATACATGTTTCAAGTATTTCTTCATCCACAAAATCCTCACTGAGCCAAAATATTTTGTGGGGCACTGACTTCTGTAAGGAGGCAATCACGAGCTGAACCTGACCCTTCATGATATCATTGCTGAAACTGGGTGATCCTCCATGGGCCATTATAAATTATGAATCACTAAGTGAGATGAAAAAACTTGTAAAAAGAGCACATCTGACACTGATCATGAAAACAAACAAAAGATTAAAGGTATTATGAAAAAGAAATCTATCTACGTGATTGCATTAACCTCTCTCGCACGACATTTTTCCTCAACTAGTTTTCCTGTTTTCGTGCTAAATCGCAGTGATGCTATCAGGGAGTAACTAAAATACTCTCCACGTCTTCAAGTACTGAGACCTGGCCTCATTTTGCCTCGGTTCAGACAAGGAGGACTTTGAGCCATTTCCTAGGTTTTGATTATCTTTCTTAGTAAATCTACAAAAGATCATATTACCTGCGGTTCATTTCAATGAAAAGAGAAAGTCCTGTGTTTAGCTAAGAGTGCATGGTTTTATATTGGCACTGCTGGAAAAATTCTACAACCGTGAAAAAGCGCCATTTTTAAATGAGCGGGGAAGTTGCGGGCTTTTGTGAAAGCTAGAATTCTTGGATGAATTTCTTCAGTGGTTACTTGATTGTATTGTACAACAGTTATGTGATAGGCATTCTCTTATTACTGATAGTTTTCAGTTTGCATGTTGCACGAAGCAAGCATTGTTTCTCCCTAGTTTCCCATAATGTTTTATTTGTTTCCGATTTCAAACAATAACACAATGGTATTAGGTAAAGTGGACTATGGGTGAATATGGGTGATTGTATCAGACTTTATTTTAAAATCACGAAGGACAGTATATGTGCTGACTGAAGATGATACTTGCGCACTGAGTCAACATTTATTTATAAAATTCTTGGCTGATATGATTTGGCATTGACTCAATTTTATCGGCAACTTCAAATAGGTGTGTAGTGAGTGTTGCAAGTACCTAAAGGCTCATGTTGGGGTCGATTTTTGAATTGTTATCGAATGAGTTTGATCGATAAATCCCTATCCTGGCAATGTTTTTATCGATCAGGGTCATTTGATAGCGGTGCAACAATCGACCCGCTGCATGGTTAATGGGATTTTAGACCTCCACCTGTTTAGCACATCGGCTAATAATTTGATGGAATTTAGCGGGGAAAAACTGTGTACACAGACACGTTTGTAGAGTCATTCGTCCATGAAAAGGGATATCACTGGGAGATAAAATGCGTTCCTACAGAATAATTTTGAAAAATATGTTATTTTCTGCTAGACTCGGCTAAATTCAACCGTTCATCTCTGACAAAAAGTGTAAGTAAGTCACAAATAGTTTCAAGTTCAAGATTTCTTCATCTATTAATTTGCCCTCGAAAGTTCATAAGTTTTTTGGTTCATCAGCGAAAACCTAATGAGTAAATAGGTACATACATACTGCCGAATTTCAGACACGCAGCCTGACGAACTTGCCCTACACTGTAAAATTCTTTCTGGAAATTGGGCTGCTGTGCTACGAAAAAACGCAGAGTGAGCATCAGAGCGTAGCCAAATTTCTCTCGAAAAAATATATCTTTCTCATGAAAGTTATGAGTATTCATTCTTAAAATTTTCAGTTTGTTACGACATTACACTGCAAATAAAAGTCACTATTGGGAGGAAAAATATATCGACGGCGCGGCAAATAATTAGTCCACAATCACTTGTTTGCGGTGTTTGAAAATCTCCACCTTCATATGATTTTTTTTTAAAGGAGAACAAATTAACACTATTTCTTGACATTTTTGTAGAATTTTTTTCGCACAGAGCGGAAAAATCACGGCAGTTTTAGAGAATCGCCATTGAGTAGTTTTCCGTTTGAAAAATAAAGTACTTATGACAGGAATTTTGCGACGTCGCAAACCGAGTACGTGGTTGCAGACTTACACCGTCGATATTCATAAGTCTCTTTAAATTATTCATTTTTTATGGGAGGATATTTGGCAACGTTCGAAGTCTCAAATGGCGGCGTCTTACCTTAGGAAGGCAGTAAATTAGGTCCCATATTTCTCGCGGACGGTCAAAAATAAAGGAAATCTTTGATATCGATTTGGTTGCCTTAAGGAATTTGCGGATGACGAGCATCCTATACTGCCGTGCTAAGGAAGAAACGCCGTATGAACATTCGAGAGTTGCCAAATTTCCCTGGATAAAACATGTATTTTTGACGACATTCGGGCACATTTTTCTTTGAAATTTTCAGATAATTTAGATTGAATTGCGTACAAAATCCTCTGAAAATTTTGGAAAGAAATATTCACAATTTCCCTAGTAAGTAATATAAGTGTTTATCGAAGGAAACTGGGCAACGTCTGAAGGCTCATACGGCGTTCTTCCTTAGCACGGAAGTATAATGAATGCGAGGACTGTGACCTTTGGGTTCCTGTCGTCCACAATTAGAGTTTCTCAATCCATCTTCCCCTCCCTTTTAGCGGTTCTGGCATATGTAAACAATGCCTCCTGGAAAAACAAACACGGAGGCAAGGTTCGAAATGACAATATAAGTCGATTTGAATTTTGCATCCCGCGAATAATATTCGTTCATTGTTACAGCGATGTGCTCTTTGCAGTAGGTCAAGTGAACCTTCATCTTTCGGAAGGCATCGAGAATACGATGCTGGACGTATTCTGAATTTATAGCAGTGTCGTCACTGTTTTCGACGCTGTCAAACGAGGAAAGAATCGAAGACACTCCAATCACGGAGCATGTGCCATGCGGTTATTTACGCGGGAAAAGGGGCCTCTAGGTACTGATAAGCTCAAAATTGATCAAGTCGGTGTGGCAAATTAGTAATCACCAGCATTTTGCGAAGCGGCCAAAGTATTTTTCCGACAAATTGCATTGATACGCAACGATATACTTAGTGCAAATTTTATTGGTGAAAACTTTCAACAACGCGATCTTTGCTTGGAAATGGAACGCCTTAATTTTTTCGAGATACTCTACGCTTTGTCACACAGTTAGTTTAGTTTTCAATTTGACCCAATACCTAACCCAAAATTGAAGTCACTTATTTCACCACAAGCTCACAGGAGTGTGGTAGTTACTACTCGAATTTGAAAGCGCTTATATTTCTATTTAATATATGGAAAAGTATTTGGTGCTCTCTAATTGTTCCTATACTTTAATTTTTTTTATTATTATTATTTTTTCCTGGTGGCTTGCAAATTTCCGGCAATTGCCATAATTGCCTACAACATTGATAAAACTCATGACACTTGTACTCACCACCCCTGCTCCCTGGTAAAAATTGGCAGTAGAATCTGTGTTCCAAAATACCATAGACCTACAGCCGGCTGTAAGATTTCCAATAGCTTCTATAGCCGGCAACACAATTTCTTATAGCCTTTTATAGCCGATGGCGATTAAGCAACAGCC